ATTCTTGAACTTGACATTAAATTTTGGAAAGAGAGTGTGCACGACATGTGAGCTAATGTGTGTGTGTGTGTGTGTGTGTGTGTGTGTGTGTGTGTTAAGGTGGGTGCAAGGACAGGTCCAGGATTCATTGAAATCAAATGCAGTATTACATGTAAAGGGGGTAGATACAATCTGGAAAGAAAGACAAAAAGATAGCGTGAGGTGTGTTTGTGTGTGTGTGTGTGTGTGTGTGTGTGCGTGTGTTTGTGTGTGTGTGTGTGTGTTTGAGTTTGTGTGTATATGTGTGTGTTTGTGTGTGTTTGTGTTTGTGTGTACGTGCGCGCGTGTGAGAGTATGTGTATGTGAGTGTGTATGTGTGAATGTATGTGTGTGTGTGTGTAAAATAGGGGAAAAAGGGGGGGGGTAGTAAAGGAGGAATGTTGCCAGCACAGGTCTGGCATTGAGGGCGACCCAGCCTTCTCTCAGACGGACCAATCGTGGCGCAGCAGCATCCGCAGCCTAGATTCCTGCCCCCCTTGCCCTCCCCGTCCCCAAGGCATCAGTGCACACCGAGGTTTCGTTTATAGCCGAGCGAAGCAAGAGTCTTCGCGCACCCCGGCTCGACGCATTTGAGTTGATTCTGGTTTTAACACGTAGGAAGCTTTCAACCCACAATCTTTCGAACCCTGTAACACCTCTTGTTCTGTGTGTGAAATTCTGAAATTTCAAAAATCAAGTTTTAGGTTTTCAAAAGAATAGAACGTTAACTTTCGAATATACCTGTAAAAGACGGAAAATCGCCATCAATCAGCGCTCGTTGTGAAGGAAACTTTGATCCTGTGAAACGCGAAGAAGAAGCGAGTTAGCAAAAAAGTCGAACCTAAGAAGATACGAAACTGATTCACCGAGCGAGAGGAGAAACAGCAACCGAGAAGCAGGCGTGCCTTTTGGATCAGCAACAGACAACGCCAAAAATTGCCTTGTCTAGCACGCTTGCTTTACCCAGCCGAGAGGGGGTCGCTCAGTCGAGGTAGGTTAAAGAAATTTAAACAAAATTAAAAATAATACTAATATCGAAAAGAGTTAATTAATTGTCTAATGATGTCTTTTTAATGTAGGCCTAATTGCTCGGTAATTTAAGCTGTTTTACATAATTACGCCCGGAAAATGTAACAGACAATCAATTTGTTATTTGGTTGCCATGCCGTAGTTTAAAAAAATACTTTTATATCTTTCTCGCCTCTCTTAACACTGTTATGTATGAGGCGGGCCCACCGAATTCCATGTCCATCTCCGATAAGATTAAGCCAAAAAGGCGGAAAGCCTTGAGACCTCCCCAAAATAACCAAGTTCAAAAACACCCCGTTGGGGATTGGAACCAGGGTCATCCGCTCCATAGTTCAAACAAACAACAACAACAACAACAACAACAAACAAAGCAACAAAAACAAACAAACTGAATCAGACATACAGACGAGAATAACGTGCGTCTAAGAACCTCTCGTACTCTTACAATAGTTAGAGAGATGGTCAAGGTGGGCGGCTCTATTGACCTCCTATATTATATTATGCAGTAATGAAAAAGGAAGTCTGCTCACTGTAATTCCATTCTCAATGTATATTTATCCACCCTTATATTCATTTTGACGCAATGAAACGAAATAATCCCAAGAAAAAGGAAACGTCATTCACGTTTATCAGAAAGAGGAGGAGGAGGTGGTGGTAGCAGGAGGGTAACGTGAAGGAGGGCGAAGAGGAAGAGGGGCTAGTGGAGGGACAGGAGGAATAGGAGGTGGAGCAGGGAAGGAGGGGAGGAGGAAGAGGAAGAGGGAAAAAAACAAGGAGGGGGAGAGAGAGAGAGACAGAGAGAGAGAGACAGAGA